GGTGAAAGAATTGCGACGTATCGCACCATAGGATGAGTAAGAGATGAGTAAGGCATAGACCTGTCTAGACCGTTCTGGAGTAGTACAGATTGTCCTAGACAGTACCAGAAGAGTCCGGAAGCATAGCTATAGTACACGAGCAGAGAGTCCCAAATATGGTAACATACTACATAAGCGACTACAGCTAAGCGCTAGGAGACGCATAGCCTCGTGTAGTCCGGACCGGATAAGTCCAAGTTCAACATCAGGCTATTCTAAGTTCTAATGACAGCTGACATCAACTAGGAACTAGAAGTTCAGCATCGTGGGCGATTTCCCGACAAGTAAGCACAGCGTGAAGGGCCAGATTTTGGCGGGAGGAGAACAAGCGGAGAATGAGCACATTGCCGCCACGTTCTCCCCACATTGCCGCCACATTCTCCAACAGAGGAGAATGTGCGTCTTTTCCATGAAGACTCCATAGATTGTCCAGACGTTGCCTGCACATTCTCTGCACATTCCCGAGTGTGGAGAATGCGCGATGGATACTACGTAGCACGGCTTATCTGACGTCACTTAGCAAAACTTAATCAATTTGTGAGCGCGTGCTCCCCGACCCATTCGCGAGCTCATGCGGGACTGCACATCCACCGCGCAGTGATCGCGTGGGCACCAAGTTGCAGCTGGCAAGACATGTATTGACCATAGATACAAGATAATTCTACAGCTAGAGGAATCCGTGACCAGATGAAAGCTAGCGTGCGGCTTGTAGAGCGCCTCCACGCCGCCTCCTCAACCTCGAGGTTGACAAACCTTAAGCTTGTGGCCGCGACCATATGCGTGGTGCATCTCCTTGCGATTCACGTCGAGAGCTAAGGCATGCAGTAAAAGCGAATGAAAAATTTATATTGCGCGCACCTGCTTCACGGCCCCAACCTCCACATCCTGCAGCTGTACTCACCATGGCTGATCGCGGAACCCAGAATGTTCAGCGCCTTAACGGCACCGTCGCTGCGATCGAAGACCTCCAGCGCACGTCCGAGAAGCACCAGGCAAGCTCATCGAAGGTGATACTCGTTCTCTGGGAGGCCGTTAAGGCACTGCAAGAGGAGTTGAAGATCACGACCGCAAGATTGGTGTTCGTGGAGTCGGTGATAAATATTGAGGAGGAGAACCGGGTGGAGGGAGACGGAGATGAGGGGGCAGAGGCGGCGCGCGGGAGTACGGGTACGGGTGAGGCGTCGGCAGATCCAGTCCAGGCTAGCATCAACGCCGCAACCCAGCAAAGCAGGGAGCTGGTAGATGGCAAGATAGTCAAGGTCAGCATCCATACACACAAAGCATGCACTAGACTTACGAAAGGTGCCTGTATCCTAGGATGTCGTCAATGCTACATATATGCATCTCCTCGGCATTTCAGCCCTGGCGAAGAAGAACATACCAGGATATCCTCAGGCGAATGAGGAATGGCCGACAGACGCGGCAACCGGCAGGAGGCTCTTGAGGTTCAAGTGGAATGTATCTGTTAAAGATCCTGTCAACGCGGTCGGTATCGCAACTGTCAAGGACACTATCCGGGCGTCAGGGGCGGAGCGCGATCGGGACTGCGCGCCCTACCTACCGAAGATCTTGGATGCCCACCTGCTGGACCGGATCGCGACAAAGTTTCACTACATGGCCAAACAACACAAGAACTATCAGACACACGACGCACCATCCAACAGCGTAGGAGATGGAGGAGAAGGTGGCCATGGCGATGACGATGGTTTTGGGGGAGAGAGGGAGGAACAGCGAGAGGGTTCTGATGGGGAGGGAGAGGTGGTGCGGATGCAAGGAGCTGGACGACGTGCACGGGCAGTAGCGGTAAACGATCAGGCTGGATCACGAAAATGATGGGACACTGACTCACTTTCTGACAGGTTGCTGCACAGCGGCAGAGAAAAGCAAAAGGCACGGAATGGGGCGACCCCAAATACGCAGCGGCGTTCGTGGTCAACGCACAGTCGGACAACGAAGACGAGTATAAAGATGGCGAGCGGCCTGCCGGCACCCCAATCCGATTCCGACGTCGCAGGCCAGGATGGCGCAGTGCTCTGGTGAGTAGTTGGTCAACAGCATCATAGGACTGAGAACAAGGAGCTTGTGGATCTTCGCCTTCACGTTGTCGATCGTGTCCGAAGACTCGACGTCAAGTGTGGTCTTTCCAGTGAGAGGCACGTCGGAGAGTCAACCCACAAGGCTGAGGGTTCTTTGCCTTGACGTTGTTGATGGTGTCGGAATCAACCTTGAGCGTGATGGAGAGGAGGATTGGATGTGTGTGGAGGGAAGGAATGTGCGAAAACTCACGACATTGGTCTTGCAGCTCCAGCGGCTCTATCAGGAAGTGGACGCTAGAAAAGATCCTGCTCCTGATCAGGCTCGAATGATGGTCGAGCGGGTGCTGGGTGCTGACCTGGAGAAGATCAAGCCGCCGAAAGCTCAGTTGAAGTATCGTGTGCGCGCTTGGATGGTGAAGGACGAGATTTTGCAGGCTAACCCCGACTGGATGGAGTCACGACGAGTTGCGAGGAATGGGAAGCTGTGGGGAGATGAGGAGGATCCAGTGGAGGACCTGGTAAAGCGGAAGAAAGATGGGCAAGGAGGAGGGAGAAGAGCAAAACGACCGCGCGTTGACAGGAGCGCCGTAGAGGCTGCGCACACCCGTGTTGCCGCGGTTACTGATTGTCACGGACGTTGGACAGACGCCCCTTTTTGCCGCCCATTCCCCTCCCCTTGACGCCCACCTTCCATTTTCGGACCATTTCCTTTCTTAGCCCATCCCAGTTTGGACACTGCAGATACGTTCCCACACCCGCATGCTACGTTCCCGTGATCACCATGCCTTTGCCTTTTCCTCCCGCCCTTTGTTCTCCCTTTGTCATCTTCACTGCCTCGCTCTCGCGCCTTGTCTTTGGTTGCTAAGCAGCCCTT